ATCTCGGCTGTTCTTCGAAATCAACCTTTTTCATCCAATTTACTAATAGTTTCTTCAGATTTCAGCTAATAATCAGGTATTTTTAATATCTATTCATCTTTCGTTTATGATTATTAGGTCAATTCCGATGCATTGTTTATCAACTTACTTTTATTGTTATTGTAATCGTCTATTGTCAAATTCTGTTGATTTTACCGTTTAATCTTCAAATTGTTATGTTTTTATTGTTAATTTGCTATTTTTATGTCGTATGTTGAATTTGCGTTTGATGTTACTGTTTTTCATTCGACCGTTTTTGTAATCATTTGTCTGTAATGCATATTCGACATTTAGATAATCAATTATATCTTGTGCATCTTCTGACATTTAAGTTTTTTCCAAACTTTTAGTGATTTTGAGAATCTTATCTTATCTTGTGCATATATTTTAAAGTTTTGTGATTATCTTGTTTATTTGTTTCCTTTTTTGTATAATTATCAATTCTAAATTTCTAATATGTATATAAACTCTAGGTTACCGACGATTCATTATGAGTTCTTTGTATTCTTGTTCAGATTTGCATTCAACTATTAATGAACAATCACGTAAGTTTTTTTTTCTTAATATAAATTTCACATTTTCTATATAATGTAATAAAATATATGTTTTTTTTTGGTTTTGCAGTTCATGATCAGTCATCTTCAAATATGAATGTTGATCATTCAAATAACAGTAATTCTTGTTCAGATTTGCATTCAATTATTAATGAACAATCACGTAAGTTTTTTTTTCTTAATATAAGTTTCACATTTTATATATATAATGTAATGAAATAGATGTTTTGTTTGGTTTTGCAGTTCATGATCAATCATCTTCAAGTATGAATATTGATCATTCAAATAGCAGTAATTCTCGTTATAGTTTTGATTTTGAGCTCTACAATACTGAAAGTTTTAAGCTTGTTCCTTATGATAAGTTGATACATAAGAAGCCTTTCAAAGGACTGCTGTTTGATTCATTGGACATTGGTCTTGACTTTTACAAGACTTATGGTCAAGAATGTGGTTTTGATGTGAATATGTCAAGTCAAAAAAGATACAATGATGGCACAATTCGTATGAGATATTCGACATGTAGTAGATCTGGTTTCACGGAGTCATTCAAGAATGAAAATGTTAATGTGAAATTTTCAGATGTTAAGAGAAGCAGAACTTCTTCTAAGAAGAACGGATGCCCCGCTGTTTCAAAGTTCAAAAATCTCCGATGTTCTTTAATGTTCTACATTTATGTGTTTGTTGAAGATCACAATCATGAACTTGTTGCTCAAGATCAGTTGCACTTATTAAGGATTAATAGGACAATGGATTTTCTTGATGAATCCTTTATACATAAGGTTGGTACTTGTAACATTGGTGCTTCAAAAGCTTATAACTTGGTGAGTAGTATGAAGGGTGGCTTTGATTCTAGGGGAGGGACTGCATTTGACTTTAAAATTTTTTATAGAGATTTGAATTGTAAAATTGGTGTCAAAGATTCCCAAATGGTTGTGGATATATTGACAAACAAAAAATTGTGTTTCTCTAATTTTTCATTTGAGGTTCAAAAAGATGTTGATGATCATCTTACTGGACTTTTTTGGGCTGATGATACTTCGAAAGCCAACTATAAGGAATTTGGAGATGTACTATCTTTTGATGCTACTTATCAAACAAACAAGTAATTTCTAATCCTTATTTTTTCTTTTTATGGTATTTGTTCTTTTTAATAATACCTATAAAAAAAAATTCAAGTATTCTATGGTATTTGTTCTTTTTACTGGAGTTGACTACCACAAGCGTTGTGTTACTTTTGCTGCTGGTTTACTAGCTCGTGAGACAGCAGATGCATATGTGTGGTTGCTTGAAGTGTTTTGTAAAGCATTTGTCAAGCCTCCCATGATGATTGTAACAGATCAGGATTCATCAATGAAGAAAGCTGTTAATTTTGTTTTTCCTGAATCGAAGCATAGACTATGCATGTGGCACATCACTCAAAAACTTGAGGAAAAGGTATATTTTTTGTTTCTTGATTCCTATGTATGTTTATAACCATATAGATCATAAAGCATATAGTGAATTCACAATGTAAATTTTCATATGATGAAAGGAACAAATCTAAATCATAAATCACACTGTGAATTCATAATGTGAACCAAATGTTATGTTAATATGAATTACATCAAATATTCAACATATGTAATGATTCTTATGTGTTTCTTTTTTTTAGATTCCTATCGATGTTTATAACCATCCGGACTTCAAGAAGATATTTTTTGATATTATATGGAATTTTCAATGTTCTCCACAAGATTTTGAAAGTTCGTGGTCAACAATGTTAGATAAGTTTCATCTAAAAGAAAATGATTGGTTAAGGTCTGTTTTTAAAATAAGGGATTTATGGATTCCAACTTTTATGAGAGATCTTGAACTTTTTGGTTTGATGCGAACTACTTCAAGATCAGAGAGTCTGAATAATGCTTTCTCACATTTTTTGCATCATAAATCAAATTTGGTGAAGTTCATGATGTCGTTTGATAGTGCAATGGAGAAGCAAAGGCATCATCAATCTTTATTAGATTATCAGTCCACAACTATTACCCCCAAGCTAAGGACTCCTTTGGCTATTGAAAAGCATGCATCAGAAATTTATACACATAATATTTTCTTGGACATTCAGAAAGAGTTATATAAATCCGTGTTTTATTGTGTTCAAGAATCTGTAGTTATTGAAGATGAAAGTGAAGTTTATGTTTTGAGAGATAAGAAGAAAAAAAAGTTGATTGATAAAAATGTGAATGAGGATGAAAAATATGATGACTTTTATCGAAATAGTCTTCCTTCTCATTGTCCTAATACTCGTTACAAGGTATGTCTCTTTGTCCTAATACAGTTTATTAAATATAAAATGTAGTTTCAAAATTCACACTGTGAATGTAGGATGTTTTGCTAATTAATAGTGTGAATTTTTATAGAGTTATAAATTGGTTTGTACTTTTCATTAGATTAGTATGGAATATGTTTTTTTTGTGAATTTGATTTGAAGTACATATTTATATTATAGTATTATGATTTCTAATGTCCTGTTGATTAATAATGTGAATTGATGTTAATTTGTATAATTTTTATCGAATGGTATGAGATAGAATTTCTTATTCACATATTAATTTGTTTATTAATGATAATTTTGTAGGTTGTATTTAGTAGAATGGGTGATAGCATTAGCATCAGTTGTAGCTGCATGCTTTTTGTCCAGGAAGGATTGTTATGTCGTCATATGTTTTTCATATTAAATATGAAAGAGTATGATGAAATTCCATCAAATTTCATTTTGAGGAGATGGGGAAAAGATATCATAGCTGATGAATTGTTGAGAAAAAAGTACTCATATCCTCATAAAGGCAGTAAAAATGAATGTTTGATTCAAGATGCATATGCTATTCTTCGTTTGTCCATTAACAAGATAGCAAATAATGAGGATGAGTTGGCTAAATATATAAAGCAACTTCAGGAGGTTGATAGTGGTATTCCTTTATGTACCTCATCAAGGGCATCTTCGAGTAGATCAGTTCACATTGAAAAAATTATTGGAGCTGCAGTACCTGATGTTATCAACATTCATAATCCAGAGGGGATCAGAAACAAGGGATGGGCCAGTGGTAAAAGAATCAAGAGCACTAGAGAGAAAGTGATTGAGAAATCTAAAAAGGGTACTAGGTTGTGCAGTTTATGTTATAAACCAAATCACAATGCTAGGAGTTGCATTTTGAGGTTTAAGAAGTCTGATTTAGAATCTGAGGTTACAGAAGGCTGATTGTTTCTAATTTTTTCTTTTTAAGACGACTAAAATAAGATTTGATTTTTGTAATGATCATTCAATGGATAGAAATGTTGAAATATTGATGTTAATTTTGATATTCATTGTTTTAGAGTTTATTTCTAATAATAGAATATATTTTTTTCAAATTTATTGTTTTTGGTTAAAGATATTTTTTTATTGTTAGTTTTTTGAATATTTTCTAATAAAAATTTCATGCTAATGATTTAATTTATGTATATTAATTATCATTGATAATCTCATATATAAAATTTTTATGTTAAAGATTGTCTTAATGTAATTTTCACGTTGTGAATCTCAACTATTAACTATTTTAATGATCTATATGTACCATAATTCACATTGTGAACCTCACATATAAAATATACATGTTATAATATGTACTGTAATTCACATAGTTAATCTTACATATAAAATCTTCACAAGGTTAACGTATAAACAATGTAAATTTTCTACATATATTGTATTGTTATTACATTAACATTTAATCATTTAGACCAAAAGAAATGAAGTAAATGTATGAAATGACAATGTAATTTCAATTCTTTATTCAGAGTAGAAATATAATCACTTCCCCCACCCACACACCAATATCATATTTTTAATAAAACATGTAATTGTATAACATACATGTAGACATTCACATGAAAATATAAACATCTTTTAAGTATTTAGTAAAGTTCATTATATTTGATATAGAAACTAACATCAAGTTGTAACATAACAAGCATGTATATGTTCTTAAAGAAATTAAAGTGCATCTAAACTTATACTAATAATGAATAGAAAACTAAGTTTTAAGTTTTACACTTCTTTTTCCAATCCTTGAAGTACTGTATCCTTTCTCCCCTTTTTTCTCATCCCTTGTCGAGCAAATCTTTTATTTCTTCATTAGTCTTTTTGCAAACTTAGCTGTTTGTGCAATGATTTTTAACATGTGTGTGTTTGCGTCACTCAATAGTATCTTTGTCAAATACTTAATGCATAAATCGTTTAACACACTTTGTTGTTGTTTTGATTCTTTTGGCAATCCACATGTCCAATTTATTGTTTTATCTCCCATATATGTCTCCATATGACGCATGCAAAAAACTCCACAGTCAACATGATTATCCCTCGTGCGCCAATTCATGTTCACCCTTTCTGGTTCAACACCCTCCAAAGTTAAAGCTGATTTGTGATTGACCCTCATCAAGTACCTACTAAAAAGTATTTTCTGCAAAAAAGAAATTGTCATTTTCTATAGTTATTATTTTATTTAGATTATCAGTCTATTAATACTTATATTTACAATGTAAATTTAATATTCTTACCAATTCATTAGGTGCATCACGATAAGCTCTAGAAAACTTTGCAACTGAATTCCTATTGTCAATGACATCAACTGCTGGTTCCTCTAAGTTTATGCAGATGATGTAAAAGTGATTTTTTTGATGAACTAGTAAAAACACCTGTTTAATAATATAAATTGTTAAACTTTGTTAAAAATATGTAATATATTCAACTAAAGAACAGTTTATTACCAAGTGAAAATTTTCAAATGTCAGAAGTTCTTTGTCCTTTTTCATTGCATCTTTGATATTTGACTCAAATTTATCAAATCTTTGATTGAAAGGGATATTTTTGTCAAATATGAACTGTCTCTGCAAAAAAATTTAAATATACATCAATCTTTAAAGAGTAAATTGTTAAATTCACAATAAGTTAAATTTTAAATTTAAAATTATTCACACGGTGAATTATAATGGGATTCACTGTGTGAATTTTATTACTTATTCAGAACTATTGAAAATTGTATTTATTATATTATCAACATTATCATGATATATATTTTTTTTAATTAACTTACCACAATTGATGTATCAAAGAAATACCGATTCAGTGTAGAATTTGATTTAAGCTTTTCTTCATAGTTCAAAATATCAGTCCAAGCATCAATGACATGTGCATGTACCCATAATCCTGCCTGCATTGTTTCGATCATTCCTCTTCCAATCACATACCCTCTCTTAGTCTGAAATACCTTCTCACTTAATTTGTAATCAATTAAAACAAAAAAGCAGTTAATAGAAAATTAATTTGTATTTGTATTTTATATACTATTGTATTTAAATAAAAGATAACATGAATTATTACATGCTATTACCAATTCTGGAAAAAAATTCTATCTGATACTTTTACTTCATCTGGATCTACAAATTTTGATGCACATACCTGTTTTTTATTATAAGGAGAAGATAGCTTCAGTGATGGTTTTTTTAATCTTTTTCCTACTTCTCTTTTTTTGTCTTCATCATCTTCAATTCCCAAGATATTATTGTCACATTCTGTTTCTTCTGAATCATAACTTTCTCCTTCATCAAGTTTTTCATCTTTTATTTCTTTCTTCATGTGTTCATCTTCACTGCTTTCATCTCCTTCCTGAAACTCTTGTGTTAGACCAAGACCAAGTCCAAGTGAAAAACTAGGCATTGATGATTTTCTAGTATTTTTTTTTCTTTTTTTTATCATCTATTTTTTGTTCTCTAAAACTTTTTACATTTTCAAAATCGTCATAATTATCAAAATTTAAAATACATTGAATAGAATCAGCAATCTCATGCACTATTGGATCATTGTACAAATTTCCTGGTGTTACCGTGATTGTTTGATTCTTTATTTCATGTTCATTCAAATTCTCTTCGCTTTTTTTTCATCTTCATCCCTGTCACCTTTTGCATCATCTTCATTTTGAGTTTTATAAATGAATTCTTGTTCAACGACTTTCTTCATATCTTTCAACTCATCGCTTTCTGTGAATTTTGTTGTTGAAAACTCAATTAACTTTCCAAACTTCATTTTATCATTCACTAGTTTTTTGTAATCCTTTTTCGCTTTGAATACCAATTCCTGCGAAATGAGATAAAAAATGTCAAAGAAAATGATTTTTTTTTAACTTTTTTCTATAATAAATTACAGTTTCAGAATATGAATGCATTGATGAGGTATCACATTTTTAATGCATTTTAATAAATTACATATTCACTTTGTGAATTTATTATAGAGAAAGTAATAAAATACACTTTTATATTCACAATGTGAATCACTTTATGAATTTCATTTTAACTACAATTTTATAACATATATCTGTAATTTAACTTCAATTTTTTTTAATTATATAGATTATTAACTTACATCGAGTTTCATATCTTCATTTTCATCGGTGTCGGATTCTTCATCATTCTCTATAACATCATCATTCCATTCCAAAGTTTCAAAGTCACCACTCTTTAACTCAGCTTTTTCCCTTTTCACCATCATTTCATAATCCCAAAAATGTAGTGCATGTATTTGTCTTTTTTCATTCTTATCATTTCTCATAAACTCCAAATAAGCTAGCTGTTTGTGTAAACAAAATTATGATTAATTAGTTTTCTTATAATAATATAAATAAAAGTGTTAATTATAAGAATTTTCCTTATCAATAATACAAGAAGTGGCCCACAATTGTAGTTTCCTCTATCGGTTTCATCCCATGTCGTCTTTGACATTTTCAAGCAATTGGTTATAAAACCACACCAGTCAATTTCTCTCATAGGTGTTTTGCCTAACAAATGTGGCAATACTGTTGTCTTACAAGTTCCAGGCTTATTCTGTTCATAAATGGTATTAACAAACAGTAATACAAAGTTTGTTCTGAAAATAATCCCTGAATCTGATGATTCTTTAATTTTCTCTTCAACATCCGATGGTCTCATAGCCTTGAAATTGTATTGTTGCTTCCAGTCCATTAATTCTTTTCCTTCACATTGATCAGTGTTATATATATCTTTTCCACCTAGAGGAATTCCAAGCAAATCATGAATAAGTTCTGGTGTTATGTCTATCTTTGCCTTTTTTTTTCTTTGACTAGTTCCAGAGTCTTTGTTTTTCTTTTTCTTTTTCCTGTTAGTCAATAATTTTCATAAGCTTCTCATAATATAACATATATAATCTAAAATAACTAACAATACAAGAAATTCACATGTGAATTTGTTTTGCAAAATATAATATAATACATAAAATAAACATGTGAATTTGTTTATAACTTTGTAAATTAAACATGTGAATAGTAATAAACAAACCTGTTATTTTTTCATCAGATTCTTTCTTTACAAGGCTATCTTCAACTTTAATAGGAGTCACAGATTTTTTGTATTCAATCATTTTAAGTCTTGGACTCTGTCTGATTTCTGTTCATGTTTTAACAAATTTATAAAGAATTAATTTTATAATACCAAATTCAATTATAATTTTATAAATACTAACCTTGAGTTGTTTTCTTTTCAGGTGTCTTGAAAACAGATTTTTCTTGCTTCATCGACTTTTTCGTTTTTGTTTTATGTAATCTTGGACTTTGTCTGATTTCTGTTCATTTAAAAAAAAAATTAAAGATAATTGATTTTATATATTAAAGTAAATTATAATTTTATAAATACTAACCTTGAGTTGTTTTCTTTTCAAGTGTCTTCAAAACAGATTCATCTTGCTTCATCATTTTTTTTGTTTGCTTTTTTTGAATCTCATCAGCTTCTAAATTTTTTTCTTTTTCAACATTTTCTTCAATAGTCTTTTCATCTTCATTTTTTCTTAACTTATTAACTATTTCCACCACGGTTCTCATTGCTGTGTTTTTGGTATATTTTTTTGAACCTTCAACTACATAATGTGAAATTTTTAATATGAATGTCAAAAATATAAGTAGTATTAATACATGTCAAACAATATAAAACTGAACATGTGATGATCAAATTGCAAAAACTTTTTAGAAATTCACATTGTGAATCTGTTAAGCTATGAGCTATATTCAAGATTCACATTGTGAATTTATGCATTTAACAGCAAAAGAGTTTGAGGTTCACCAAGTGATGTACACATACACATGGTGAATTTTTACAATTACATTGAGCATAGTCAAATACAAACAAAAGTGTTGATCAACTTGCAAAAAAAAAATATGTTTTTAAGAGTTTCACATTGTGAATCTGTTTGAATGTGAGATACACATCCAAGATTCACATTGTGCATAGTCAAATACAAACAAAAGTGTTGATCACCTTGCAAAAAAAAAACATTTTTTTAACAGATTCACATTGTGAATCTATGTGAATGTGAGATACACATCCAAGATTCACATTGTGAATTTTATGCATTTAACAGCAAAAGTGTTTGAGTTTCACCAAATGATGTACACATACACATGGTGAATTTTTACAATTACATTGTGCATAGTCAAATACAAACAAAAGTGTTGATAAACTTGCAAAAAAAAAAATATGTTTTTAAGAGATTCACATTGTGAATCTGTTTGAATGTGACATACACATCCAAGATTCACATTGTGAATTTATGCATTTAACAGCAAAAGTGTTTGAGTTTCACCAAATGATGTACATATACACATGGTGAATTTTTACAATTACATTGTGCATAGTCAAATACAAACAAAAATGTCGATCAACTTTCAAAAAAAATATTTTTTTAGAGATTCACATTGCTAATCTGTTTGAATGTGAGATACACATTCAAGATTCACATTGTAAATTTATGCATTCAATAGCAAAAGAGCTTGAGGTTCACCAAGTGATGTACACATACACATGGTGAATTTTTACAATTACATTGTGCATAGTCAAATACAAACAAAAGTGTTGATCAACTTGCAAAAGAAAAAAAACATTTTTTTAACAGATTCACATTGTGAATCTGTGTGAATGTGAGATACACATCCAAGATTCACATTGTGAATTTATGCGTTTAATAGCAAAAGAGTTTGAGGTTCACCAAGTGATGTACACATACACATGGTGAATTTTTACAATTACATTGTGCATATTCAAATACAAACAAAAGTGCTGATCAACTTGCAAAAGAAAAAAAAACATTTTTTAACAGATTCACATTGTGAATCTGTGTGAATGTAAGATACACATCCAAGATTCACATTGTGAATTTATGCATTTAACAGCAAAAGAGTTTGAGGTTCACCAAGTGATGTACACATACACATGGTGAATTTTTACAATTACATTGTGCATAGTCTAATACAAACAAAAGTGTTGATCAACTTGCAAAAATAAATATGTTTTTAAGAGATTCACATTGTGAATCTGTTTGAATGTGAGATACACATCCAAGATTCACATTGTGAATTTATGCATTTAATAGCAAAAGAGTTTGAGGTTCACCAAGTGATGTACACATACACATGGTGAATTTTTACAATTACATTGTGCATAGTCAAATACAAACAAAAGTGTTGATCAACTTGCAAAAGAAAAAAAAACATTTTTTTAACAGATTCACATTGTGAATCTGTGTGAATGTGAGATACACATCCAAGATTCACGTTGTGAATTTATGCATTTAATAGCAAAAGAGTTTGAGGTTCACCAAGTGATGTACACATACACATGGTGAATTTTTACAATTACATTGTGCATATTCAAATACAAACAAAAGTGTTGATCAACTTGCAAAAGCAAAAAAATAACATTTTTTTAACAGATTCACATTGTGAATCTGTGTGAATGTGAGATACACATCCAAGATTCACATTCAAGATTCACATTGTGAATTTATGCATTTAACAGCAAAAGAGTTTGAGGTTCACCAAATGATGTACACATACACATGGTGAATTTTTACAATTACATTGTGCATATTCAAATACAAACAAAAGTGTTGATCAACTTGCAAAAGAATAAAAAAACATTTTTTTAACAGATTCACATTGTGAATCTGTGTGAATGTGAGATACACATCCAAGATTCACATTGTGAATTTATGCATTTAACAGCAAAAGAGTTTGAGGTTCACCAAGTGATGTACACATACACATGGTGAATTTTTACAATTACATTGTGCACAGTCAAATACAAACAAAAGTGTTGATCAACTTGCAAAAAAAAATGTTTTTAAGAGATTCACATTGTGAATCTGTTTGAATGTGAGATACACATCCAAGATTCACATTGTGAATTAGTTTTTTTAATAAGTGTGTAGTATATGATTAGATAATTAGTTATTTTAATCTGAATGCAAATGTTCTAACCTTTTTTTTATCTTGAATATCTTCAATTTTTTCACTTGTAGTTGAAGGTAGAACATCTTTTAGACTTCTTGTCAATTTCATTCTTTTTTTATTATCCTTTTTTTCATTGATCTTTTCTTCATTTCCTGTTTTTGATTAACAAATTAATTCAAACATCAATTTCATGGTATGAAAGTTATGATTTATTCACATTGTGAATTCAATTTGAATCAAAACATTACCAATGCAACTCTTTATAAATTTACAATGAGAAGCACAATAAGAGATACAATATGAATTAAACATAGATACACAATGTGAATTTCACAAGATGAAAAAATCAAATGTAAATGATAAATCACCCTGTGAATTCACAATTTGAATAAATGATATGTTAAATTGATATATAATCATGATTCACTTTGTGAATTGTCAAATAATATAATACTTAGAAACATTGAATCCTTTCAAAATAATCAAATGTAAATCACAAAGCACAGTGTGAATTCAAAATGTGAAATTAGTTTTTCAGTTTAATGAATAAATTCAGAAACCACATAGATTCACAAAGTTTTTAGGAAATTACGGTTTGTAATTTAGATATTCATGATTTCTGTATCAATTTGAAGAAATTTATATCATTAGGTTTTTGGTAATTATACGAATTCTCAAAAGTTCATGAAATTAGGGTTTCGATTTACTTAATAAACTCATATTCGAGTTAGATTCACAAAGTTTTAGGAAATTTCAGTTTGTAATATAGATATTCATTAGGTTTTCGTTATGTATAAAAATTATTAAAAGTTCATCATCCGACGAGGGTTTCAAATCAGTCTAAAACGATTTTGTTAATAAAATAGTGTATTAACAGATTCATCGAATACATAATGTAACAGATAGTTTAGATTTGTCGTTTTGAAATTTATCAATCGAAAAAATATAATGTTGAAAATGGATTAAATGAGATAATCGAAAGTGAATAGCAGTAAAATATACCTTCTAGATTCATTTTGACGAACTTTTCGGGAAGATTCACTGTGGATATTGACTGAATCGTCGCCGGAGATTCGTTTGAAATCGATGTCGTCGGTGGAGTAAAAGATCGCTTTCAATGAGAGGGTAAAATCGATTTCACTGAATTGAAACTGATGAACTAACGACGTTAATTAACAGTGAGAATTAAAAAGTTTTAGTTTGACGACAATGCCCCCTTAAGTTACGTGTTTGGTTATAATCAGCTGCACACTATTGTTTTTCATACTTTTACATCTCAAATCCAATGGCTGTTAATATTTTGATCCAACCATCTTAATAGGTTCCTTGGTTCCTCCACCCATATTGGTTCTCTATTGAACCCATCCATATATATATATATATATATATATATATATATATATATATATATATACATAGTTAGGTTCAAATGTTTTTACTATCTATTGTGTGCTTGTAGGATTGATTCTGGACCAATCATTTTAGTTATTTTAAGAAAATAATTAATGCATATTAAATGCTTAAGTTCTAATTAATGCTCATTATATCTTTAACATCTAATATGCATTAATTACTTTCTTAAAATAACTAAAATGATTGGTCCAGAATCAATCCTACATTCACACAATAGATAGTTAGAACAATATAACATAACCCTATATATATATATATATATATATATATATATATATATATATATATATATATATATATATATATATAGTAAAAAGGCAATAATTATATATAGGATACCTTCCCATATCACGAGTAAATTAAAATAGAAAAGTATGGATCAACTTTACGAGAGCAAATTTTAATTTTCAATTCAATTGTAAAAAGCATATTATATTACACTACAAGAAATATACCCTTTAGCGGCGACACTATTACCGGCGACAAGGGGCTTTACCGACGACTCTAGATATTGTCGCCGCTAAAAACCATTGTCGACGGTAATAGTGTCGCCGCTAAAGGGTTGCCACCCGGATCCGCACTTTCCCCCTCTGTTACATCTGAACCGCTAAAGGGCTTTACCGACACATATGTCGCCGCTAAAGGTTAAAAAAAGTCGCCGCTAATAGTTCACTAAAAATGACGCGGTACCCTTCCCTACAGTTTGTCGCCGGTAAAGGGTTCCGTGTCGCCACTAAAGGAGTCGCCGCTATTGCCTCTCGTAGATAAAAAAAACGCACGCAGAAACCCTCCATTCTTGATTTGCCTTCTGTTTGCTGCGCTTTGCCCTTCGCCATTTCCCACTCTCGCCGACTTTCTCTTCAATTTGCTTGTTCCAAGCAAATTTCTCCCCACATTGTTCCAAGCAAATTTCTCTAGGTGTGGTTAAAGCTTTTGGGACCAATTTCTAACTCCATTTCTTGAAGAAAGGTAAGTTGATTTAGTAATTTCATTTTTAATTTGTATGTTAATTTCGATTTGTAGCTTCATCTAGTGATTGAATGGTAATAAATTGTTCATATTCTTGTTTTTGGTGGTGTTGTTTTGGATTAGAAGTAAGTTGTTCAATTTCTTGTTTGTGGTGATTGAATGGCAATTAGTTGTATAACTTCCACTTGTAGTTTAGCCTTTAGGGACATTTGATG